CAGCCGGCGGGGACGCGCAGCCACGAGGCCCAAGCTAAAAATACCCGTCCATTGAGAAAATCTCCGTGAGGAGGGTTTGTCTTTGCTCCTCTGCGGCAGCTTCCCAAGCCGGTGGCCAGATCCGTGGTATGGGGTCATGGAGGGAGGCCCATGGGCTGCCCTGACTGTTTTGGTTTCCCACTACGGCTGATGGTCTTGATTTGCTGAGTTTTGGGGAATCACATAATCATGGTGCAGCCCAGTGCACATCCCAGACCGGTGCGTAGAGCTTCTTGCGCTGGTTGCACGTCCCTGATCGGTGCACGGAGCTGCACAGTCCCCACGCTGGCGCAAGGATTGTGGGAACAGTGCCAGTTGGCTCTTTTCATCGGAAAGAGCAGAGGGAACAGCAGGTTTTAGGGGCTGGCAAGGCAAGCCAGGTGGTGGAGGCAGGATCTACAGCCCTGGAGTGTGGGCACCATCCCACTGATGGGTATGAGAGAAGCCAGGGCTGGCCAGGACCCAGCAAAGAGACCATCCTGCTGGGATTTCGGCCCAGGAAAGGGGTCCCACCAAAATGCCACTTCCAATGGGGCCCACCTTCCCATCCCCCTCGGGCACCCCACCGCCCTGTGTCCCCTCTTGCTTTCCAGGCTTGCTGACATCCCTTCCTGCCATGGTGACAAGTCGTAACATATTTGGGAGCAGCTGCAGGCGGCAGGGAGATGCTTGGCCCTCTCCCCACTCCCGGCTGAGGAATGCAGACCAGACCTCTCCTCCGACACCCGGGATTTCCGACGTGCCTGCTTGCTGGAGATTTGGGATGGCGACAGCTGCTCGGCCAAGATGGGGCCAGGGCAGAGCCTGCCCTTTCAACCCTGTCCCCACCAGCCATCAGCCCTGCACACCCCCCTCAGCCTGAAGAGGATTCAGGATTGGGGTTAGGTCCAGCCCTGGGGAGTGACGGGGGACAGTGTCCTGCTGGCTGTCCCTGGCTGGGATGGCAGCCGTGGTGGCAGGACCAACCAACAGCCCCTTCCTCAGCCCTGTGTGCTGATGGATTGGGTGGATGGTGGGATGGGGCAGCCCCATGTCCCTGTGGGCTTGATGTCCTTGGCTCCCACCTCACCAATCATCCCCATTACCTCAGGCACCAAGCCCTGTGCCTGTTTCCCCATCAGGAAATCAGGGACAACCATGAATGTACAAAGTCTGTCTGGAGAACAGTTTTATTTTGGTTATTAACTGTCTTGACAGTTTGACCTGGGATGGGGGGTAGGGCATCAACAGAGAGGTGCTGGTGGCTGAGCAGCCCCCAGTCCACTGGATCCATGTGGGGACCATACTGGGTGCCCTGACACACCAATCCACTGGATCCCACTCTGGAGATATTAGTGGGTGCCCTGACCCACAGCCTGTTGGATCACAGTTCAGGAACCATACTGGGTGCCCTGGCCGACCAGTTGCAGGGTTGCCTAGGGACCAAACCAGGTGTCCCAACACAGCAGTCTGCTGGGGCCCAGTTTGGTGACCACACTGTGTGTCCTGACCCCCCTGCTTGCCTGCACTCATGGGGTGATGCTCTGCCCCACTGCCAGCACTAAACCTCCTGCATTTCTGTCCCACCACAGCCTCCCTTGCTCCATGACCCCATGGCCTGGACATGGCCCTTCCCCCTTCCCAGTCCCCAGCCCCAAATTGCAGCTGGAGGAGAGATTCACCCGGCAGGACCCCCACTAACAAACCCCACTGTGTGCTCTCCCATCCATAGTCCTCCCATGCCAGCGGCATCCCCCGCATGTGAGAAGCTGTTCCTCCATCCCCTGCCATGGTGGCAGTGGCTGGGCTATCCCCACATTTGTCACAG